CACATGAAGACATGCAGAAAGATGCTTTGAAGGGAGAAGTAAGTAGAATTTATAAACTAATTTTGGAACAAGAGGAAAAAGACTGAAATAGAAGGCTTGAAATCAATTTGGGAACATGATTTAAAAACAGAAATTAAAACAGAGGATTGGACTAAAATTTGGAAGAGGAGCGTTTTAAGATTAATGTTGGTAAGAATAAAGGAACAAATTTTAAAAATTAGTTTAAGGTGGTACATAACGCCGGTGAAATTGAACATAATTCAGACTATTCTAAGGCCTGTTGGAAATGTGAGGAAGAAATTGGCATGTATTATCATATGTGTTGGGGAGTGTAAATTGATTCAGACATTTTAGAATCTGATTTTTAAGGAAATATCAAATTTAATTCTAAAATTGCTTTGTTGTCAATCAATTTTTTATAAGATAGAACTTGATTATTCCTCAAAGGAATTGATTTCCAATTTTATGACAAGTGCTAGACTATTAATAGCTAGATTCTGCAAAGATAAAAATGATATTAAATTAGAAGATTGGTATAATGAAGTATGGGACATTGCATTAAATGATAAATTGACTACTGAACTTAAGATGAAAAGAGGGGAAATACGTTTAAATATGTTTCATGCTATTTGGGCTGGATTTATTGAATTTGTATTAGTGAAAGGAAAGGGGAAAACCTCTAAGCAACAATAAATACAATTTTAAAAAGGAAGTTCGTAATAAAAATTATTCCTCCAAATGGTTCCATAGGTTTGGGGGTGCGCTGTGTTTTAGACTGTATTAGTAAGCATTTTGTATTTTTGTATTTGTTTTGAAAAAATTTTTAAAATGCCAATTTTGGACCTTTAAAAGCTCCCCTGCCCCAAACCCTGAGGCTCCCCAAAGCTTTCCAAGGGCAAAATGGGGCCCAAGGGAGCATCAGAACATAAAACAACAGGAAGCTTTTAATGAGTGTAAATTATATGTTTTTGGTGTCTGCTCCAGCATGCACCAGACACAGTTACACACAAGATTTTGCCCAATGAGATAGTATCAAAAAAGCACCAAAACCAGAACCATAAATATGAATTATTTACTGTTTAGCTTGAGCAGCAGCAGTCCTATACAGTGGTGCCTCGCATAACGAGCGCCCCGTTTAACGACAAATCCGCACAGCGATGCGGATTTTGCCATCGGAAAAGTGATCACATTGCGATGGTTTATATGGCTAAATATTGCATTGCGATGATCAGTAAGCGTTTCGCTTACCGATCTTCACATTGCGATGTTTTAGAAACAGCTGATTGGTGGTTCCAAAATGGCCACCGGAAGAAAAAAATGGCCACCCGCAGCATTTTCGCACCCTTTCCCTCGCATACTGGGCGGCGAAAATGGCGGCCATATGGAGGATTTCCACATAGCGGTGAGTTTATCCCCCATAGGAACGTATTAAACGGGGTTTTCCGTTCTGTATAGCAACGATTCCGGATAGCGACAATTTATCTGGAACGGATTATCGTCGCTATGCAGGGCACCACTGTTCCCAATCTGTCGGGGTAGCTACATTTAACCCTTTCTTTACCACTATCAGATCCCAAGTATCTACCCCTTGATGTTTCCACCCTTTACTTCTGTTGATCTCCTCCAGCTCCTGTGTGTTCCTGAGTGCTCCACGGGGAGCAGCGGCACTCCTAAAAATGCCTCCTATCTCTGCTCTGGGGCTCCACAGTAAGTTGATACAGGACTGCAGGCTTACTAACCACTGCCATGTGCTTATAAGCGGTCCTACCTTGCAGTAGTCAACGGTTGCCAAGAACTCATAGGATCCCAAAGATAACTCAGGTCTGTCATAGTAGTCCACTCGCCTCCCTGTGTGATCCAAGTGCTGGAAGTAGTGAGATGGCACTGGAAAAGTGGAGGAGTTCAACAGCTTAAATAAAAATACATTTTTCTATAGGGGTTAACGATACTTGTACAAGTTCAATCAGAAGGGGCAAAAACTGCTCAACAACAAAATCAGAAGCATATGTAATCTTTGGGTCAAGTACCAAAATTATCTGTCCAGAATATAAGACAGAGGGCAATGCAACGATCAACATTTAAACTTATAATAGTCCATCTTCAGGGTCTGTTATGTGATTATGCCACTGGATAACCTTTCGGCACTCCCTTGCAACAGACACAGAACCACTTCCCTCCTCATCTTCCCAACATGCATCTTAATAGAAAAACCTTACCCTCAGTGATACAGCTACAGAAACAGCACTGAAATCTTCTTCCACCTTCAATAAATTGCATAAAGGGACACATATAGGCTTTGCACCTATTGCACCGGATGGGGCCTGATTCTCCATGGTCTACCAAATAAGGAGGAGTCTGGAAAGAAAGACAAAATAAGAATACTAGGGCTATTTAAAGCAACTTTCCTTTTCTTCTCCAACAGATGATATATCAAAGCATGCCTCCTGCACTTTGCTCTAACATTCCTGTGAGCTAAACAACAAGCCTTTCACTACATCTGTCCCATAATGTATGATCAGCCATGTAAAACTATACCAAACACTAAAGCCTACATCTTCTTCGGGTGAGGAAAAGGAGAGGAGAGAGAAAAACAACCCTTCTCTGAAAATCCTATTGCCACCCCAAAACTAACAACCGTTAAATTAATCCCATTTAGGGAAGTAAACCCATTTAATCTTTTATCACAGGAAGCTGTGTGACAAAATACACCTTGGGAATAAGACACAAGCATCAGCATCATTCTTACAAATGGCTCTGATGTTTTGCTATTTAGCACCTCTTATTTACAGGTGACCAGAAAGATCATACATAGTGTGATCCATTTAGTTATGTTTAACAAAGAGAATGATAAAAACCTTTACAGAACTTAACTTCCGCAGACACAAGAAAATTTAGTTTCACACAGTTGTTCATTAGGGCACAAGTTATATATACAAGCTCTTTCTGAACCAGTTTCTATATGACTAAACACTGGACAAAAGAAACACAAATGTATCAGTTTTATTCTTACTGGAGAACTAAAATCAAAGTTTCTAGAAAAATGTATTGTAGTATCATTGCTGAGGCTACAGAAGTAACCCTGGAGGCAACATGCTACCCCATTTTAAGGCCTCCAAAGTCCACTTGCACTAAGGAACAAATATCTCAGAAAGACAGGTGCTACATTTCAACCATTCTGAAAGTTGTTTTTTGCTTCAACACCCTTCCTTCCATATACTTCTAAACATTAACTCATTTAGAGTGTCCAATTTCCCTTAGCAGGTGCAGGACACAGCTGTCCAACAAGTTCCTGAACGCTGGAGGCAAATGTAGCCAGTTTTAAAAAAGGCTCGTGTAGCCAGGCTTTGTTTGAAGATAGCTGAAGTCTTCTGGCTAACCATCACAAATTGCTTGTACAGTGGTGCCTCGCTTAGCGATTGCCTCGTTTAACGATGTATTCGCTTAGCAATGAGGTTTCTGGAGCGATTTTGCGCTCCGTTTAACGATGTTCCCTATGGGGAAAATTCGCGTAGAGATGTTCGGGACCTTGCCTCGCTTAGCGATGACAGTTTTAGGTCCCCTGTTTCGCTCAGCGATGTTCTGTTTTTGCTATTTTTAAAGTGTCTTAAAAGGTTCAAAAACGGTTTTAAATGCTTGGAATCGTTAGTGCACCTTCTAAAATGTGTGCAAACTTAATTTGGCTTTGTTCTGACTCTTCGTTAATTTTTGATGAATTTTCCTCCCATTGAAATGCATTGAACCCGATTTTGACAGCTGTCAAAAGGGCACTTCAATGCTTTCCAATGGGGGAGAAAAAAAATTCACCAAAAATTAACGAAGAGTCAAAACAAAGCCAAATTAAGTTTGCACACATTTTAGAAGGTGCACTAACGATCCCAAGCATTTAAAACCGTTTTTGAATCTTTTAGGACACATTTAAAATTGCAAAAACGGACATTGCAAAACCTTTGAAATGCACTGAATAGGCTTCAATGCATTCCAATGGAGGATACATTGTTTCGCTTAGCGATGTTTCCTATGGGGATTTTCACTTAATTAACCGGTTTTCAATGCATCTCTATGGGAAAACGTGTTTCCCTTAGCGATGTTTTCCCATAGCGATGTTTTTTTTGGAACCAATTAACATTGTTAAGCGAGGCACCACTGTATCTCTCCCCAGAAAGCATCTAGTTTCTACACCAGCAGATTAGCAGACTGGGACAGTTAATTTTTAATTCAATATCACTTTGTGCTAATGAAGAATCTGTATATCACATTTTTCTACAGAAAACACTTGCTGCAAATATGATGGCAAAAATCCAGTAGTAACTCACAACTAAAGCAGCCCCATTTAATCAGGGCACTTATGGGAGAGTCCAATCACCAAATCATCATTGATTCAATGGGTCTACTCTAGCTGTGACTTACTACTGGATTTCCACCAATGCACTGAGTAGATAAAACAGACGGCAATTATTTTGCACATCAAAGGTGGCTAATGCATTTTATTTTGTTGTTGTTCTGTAGCGTGACCCATGGCAAAACAATGCAGATACCAAGTGCTTCATTCATCACTCATTTCTATGAAAGACAGTAAAGCCAGGGATTCACAAGGTCAACGTAAATTTTGATTCAACGTAAACCAGCCTCCATATAATGTGAGCACAAGAAACATGGACAAAACAGGAACTGCCTATTATTTCTAACATTTAATATTCATGGCTATCAACATACCCATGATCTTAAAAACATGCATGCGTACATACGCACACCGTCCACTGCCTATGAAGAACCAGGCACAGGAAATTGTTTTTTTTCCTCCCTCCCAGAAAGAACTCAGCTTTTCTCCTTACTTCCTTCTCCACTTCTTTTTCCTTCTGTACTCTGTATACTAAACTGTGAGCTTGTAAGGATGGTCTTGCCTTCTAATCACCCTATAGCACCGATAAAACTGCAGCACTCTGATAGTGACAACTTATCAGCGTCACCACAACCATCACTGTCCCATCTCCTCAACTGGCAGCAAAAGCATAAAGTTGTGTTCAAAAATAAAACCTCCTCCTAGTACAGAGTTTATTTCTTTCAATGGCTCTTTTCAAAGAGAACAGCAAATAAATTCAGCAAAGTCCTCTTCTTCATTTATAGATCCAGTAAGTGCCAGGAGACACCAGAAACTACAAGGTTTGTGCCCTATGAAATATGACGTAAACTACACAATCAGGAAATGGCTATTGTCTTGTGAAACTTCACATTAATGGGTTTTCATCATAAAACATAGCACTGTGAAACAGAAGAAGAAATGAAATAGAAGGAAATGAGACAAATCTACCAAAGTGCAACTAACAATAGATTAATTATATTATGTAAAACCAGTAAAAAATAAAGCTAATATAGATAGTGCTTAGCTAATAATTTTCTTTGATCAGATACAGAAAATTCTATCACCTATAGTTTGGAACATATCTATGTGAGTTATTTAGGGAAGTTCAACAAACAAAAATTAAAGATAAGCACCAAAAATTGAAACAAGCAATACTTACTGTATACATAAGTTTTTAATCTCCTGTTCATTCACCCTTACCTCTTCTGTAGGAAGTGTGGCCAATGGTTTTATGACTGCAGCAAGAGGAACTTGAGACTGTTTAGCCATATCTGAAGTGCAGGGGATATTATAGGACGTACATCTTATGTAGCGGGGACTTGCATTACCTGAAGAAGTAAAAAAAAATCTATCTATACATCTGTATCAAACTGATAGGATTTATTTATGTGACTATTACTAATCCATAAGAGCTAACAGTCACATAAAAATCAATATAGGCCAGAAAATTTGCTCAATCAAACCAAGTAAAGCAGTAAGGTAATAAAACTCAACAAACATCAACAAAAGGTTTCTGCTTGATTCCATATAGATACTGTTTTGAGATTTCCTTTTAGATTTGGTGATGGATTTGTCACCCAATGTGAGTGGTGGACCAGGACACAGGAGACCTCGTTTGAAATCCCCACTTGTATTTATTTTTATTTATTTATTTATTGTATTTATGCCCCGCCTATCTAGTCATTTCGACCACTCTAGGCGGCTTACAACATAAGGATAACAAGTTCTAAAAAGTGATAACAAGTTCTTGGCCATGGAACCTCACTCGGGGCTGTGCGGCACTCCCGAATATCTCACTTAATTTGAAAACTATTAGGGTGGTTATAATTCAGATGTGATTTGTCAAGACATCACACACAGGCAGAGGATGTCTCAGGAAATAGCAAACTGCAGTACTGCAGATTTTATTAGATTGCAACTCCCAGCATCCCTCTCCACTGGCTATCCTGGTTAGTGAAGTTTCAGGCCGACAATATCTGGACAATCCCTGCATACAGAAATAGTTTTAAATAAATAAAGAGCTGGGACAGAGCAAAATCATTTTAAAAAGGGAACAATGCCATTTTAAAAAAGGGAACTACTACCCACTCAACCTCTTGGCAAACAGAACCTTTATCCAGGAGAAGGTACTCCTATATGAGCACATTCTGTGGGGACATTATGTTAAGATTTCCTGATGTTTCATAGCTAAGACAAATCTGTTTAAATCAAGAGATGTCAAACATGTGCCCATAATTTAAAGCAGAAGCAGAAGGTTGGTTATTGCCACCAAGTCACCAGATTTTGGCAGGCTTAGGGTGACTGTGGTCTCCAATAAGTCCGGATTGGTGAAACAGCCTTCAGACATACCAACATTACCTTTTCTGGTCTAGAAAAGTTCCATCCTCTGATGGCTAACAGAAAAATTAGAGCTGGCCAAAGGAACCGTAAAGAAAAAGCAAATCTACCTGCAAAAGCAACTTGGAGCATTCATAGTTTCCAATTCATGCATCAGACTGCAGCCCTACATCATATCATAAACATTTTTCAAAGGTTCCTGAAATCAAGATCAGCAATGGCAGGATAGTACAAAGTGATGGAAGAAGAAAACCCCCATTCATTGAACTAAATTCCATTTGAAATTTGTTGGATCTAAGCCTAGAAATTACGCCTTTCGCCTTATTTGTCCATAAACACAGATGAATTTCACATCCAATCAAACTTCTTTGAAAACTGAGTTCTTGGGTTGGATCAATCAATTATAATTTGGGGGATGTCATCTGAGCTGACTTCTGACCAGACGTTCTCATGGAATTAAAAAATAGCGAACATGAAACTGAACGCTAAAAATGCACTAAGCACCCACACCAGAAATCAACTATCAAAGATAAAATAGCCTATACAATTCTTCATCACAAAACCAATGCTATCTATTAGCTGAATAAAAAGGGGTCCAGCAAGAAATATGTGGATAACTTGGAAAGTTTTGACTCTGTGACTTTAGGGAAGGGTTCAAGCAGGTTCAAGCAGTCATGTCTCAAGCTGCCATCCACAATAATGGGAAAATAATAATCCTGTAATCAAAACAACTTCTTGTACGGAAAATTACTGTGCACTGTAGATTCCAGTATAGCTTCTGTCTGTGTTGATCACAACAATCTATGGATAATTCTAAAAGCAGTGGGATTCCATAGTATTTGATTGCCTTGACACTCAACACAAGAGGTGCTCAATCAAATGAAGCCTGAACTTCCACAAAAACTAGAATGACTAAACTGATGTTACTGTACATTGAGCATAGCATGTGAAGACAAGACTTGCTGGAAAAAACAATAATGGTTGGAATCCTCTGGGTATTTGCATAAAGTTTATGTAACTTGCCACACTTAACTGTGGCTGACCAACAAACTGCCCAGGTGCATTTTAGTGGTGCAGTGCAGTTGGGCTCATGCCCAGTCATGCAAACAAGATATGATCCCATACTTCGATTAGCAAGTTACGCAAACCTTGTCAAAGTTAGGTAGACAGTAGGAACAGCATAAAAGCCAGTGTGATACAGTGGACAGAATGTCAGACTAAGTCTCAGGAGATCTGGATCCAAATCCTTCCTCAGCCATGAAAATTCACTGGAGGGTGGCAATGTGGTAAACCACTCCTTGAACACCTAACATACCTCGAAGATTCCAGAAGGGTTGCTAAAGGTCAGATGCAACATGACAACACTAAGAAAGATGAAGACCTAATGTGAGATGGATTTAATAAAAGCAATTATGGCTTTTAATTTGCAAGACCTGAGAAAGGTTGCTAATGATAAGATTATTTCAGAGAACACGAATTCTTTGGGTCATCATAAATCAGAAATGACTTTGTGGCAATGTTGAATTTTATTCAAATTTTAGCCAAAGGCCATTGAAACACCGAGTCAATACACAAAACCAATGACAAGTCTTGATTATAAAAAGTTCCTAAACAGCTAGAATTTAAAATATACAACATACAGTGGTACCTCGCAAGATGAATGCCTTGCGGGACGAAAAAACCTGCAAGACAATTGGTTTTTGCGATTGCTATGGTGCCTCACAAGACGGTTTCTTCTATGGTCGTGCTTTGCAAGACTTTTTTTTCCCCAAGACCGATGCCTCTGAAGACTAAAAAATTTCATTCGTCTTGCGAGGTTCCCATAGGGAACCTCACAAGTCGATTTTTTCGCAAGACAGCGCTTCTTGCAGAACGAATTACATTTGTCTTGCTAGGCACCACTGTATATCTATAATACTATTATAAAATTGAGAACTCTATTTTTATACTGTTGTCCTTTAAGGACGTAGTGGCGCTGTGGGCTAAACCGCAGAAGTCTGTGCTGCAGGGTCAGAAGACCAGCAGTCGTAAGATCGAATCCATGCGACGGAGTGAGCGACCGTCGCTTGTCCCAGCTCCCGCCAACCTAGCGGTTCGAAAGCATGCAAATGCAAGTAGATCAATAGGGACCACCTTGGTGGGAAGGTAACAGTGTTCCGTGTCTAAGTCGCACTGGCCATGTGACCACGGAAGATTGTCTTCGGACAAAACGCTGGCTCTATGGCTTGGAAACGGGGATGAGCCCCGCCCCCTAGAGTCGAACACCACTGGACAAAAATTGTCAAGGGGAACCTTTACGTTTTACCTTTAGTGACCTGAGGGGCCTTTGCTAGCCTAAATGGCCTTAGTCACCATACACTACTCAATGGGGTCTTTATCCATTTGATTAATCCAAACTTGCCTTAGCTTGATGGCTAGCTGGCCAAATTTGGCCACATTGTAAGTTGTGGCCTTATTTCTATCTTCTAGCAAGGTCTGGAGACAGCTCTTCCTGTCACCTCCATCCATGTCCAGAATAACTGGACTGATGTAGCTTTCCCAGATCTGTTCATAAATTTTGCAGTCCAAGAGTACATGCTCCAAGGTCTCTATACTTCCTTCACCGCATAACACAGACAATTCAAATATGGAATTTTCTTATATCTGCCCTCCAAGATGGCAGAAGGAAACATGTCCATATGGATTAGCATAAACATTGGGTGTTTATGCTAACCCTTCTACTTTCAGAATTTTTAAGTTCGCTTACGTAAGGCATTGATGTGTTTCTACTGATACCAATGATATCCCTTATATGTGCTTTAACTCTATTTAGATCATGCTGCCTTTCTATGTCTAAGATCTTTTGTTTGATCAGACTTTTGGCTTGGCCGTAACTCATAGAATTAGATATTGATGTGAGAATCTATAGTACTCCAATTTGTTCTCTAACAGTTCCATCCACGGGGAGACAGAGTTGTCCTTTAATATCAAATGGGCAAGCCCAGAGTTAGTGTGGTTCAATTTTATCCAATATGACGGGACAATTATCCAAAGTCTAGCCTCTCTAATTACTAGTCGTGTTTCCAGACGAACCATTGCATTTGATGCTTTGGTTGGCAGCAATAGTATGGCTTTTAAAAATTTAGTTTGAAGTTTTTCCATTGTGGATCTGTTTGCTACAATTCTAAAAGGAGCACCATAGGTCAATTGTGCCAAGGATTTTGCCATAAATAGTTTGATGGCTGTTGTCACATTTCACCCCCCTTTGGTCCAAAAGAATTTTTGTATTGCACTAGCACTTTTTTGAGCATTAGATACAACATACTTTATATGCAAGGTTTTCTTCCCATTTGCCTGTACTGTTGTACCAGGTATGCCTCTTTGGTCTATTAGCAAAGGATATGACCTTTGTTTTATCATAACTTATCTCCAATCGGTTTTGTTGGCAATATTTAGAAAGTGTCCGTATCATTCTCTTAAGCCCTATCGGTGTCCTTGAGAGAAGCACGGCATCGTCCGCATACAACAGTATAGCAATGTGATGGCTTGCCAATTTAGGGGGTTGATGTTCTGGAAGATTTAACTGAGTTGCTAGGTGATTTATATAAAGCTTGAATAACAGGGGAGTCAGTATACATCCCTGTTTTACACCTTTCTCAGTCTTAAGAGGAGCTGTAAGATGGCCTTGTGAGTTGGTTTTAACTCATATTGTAATATTTTTATGTAGAGCTCTCATCAAAAATGAGAGGCGTTTGTCAATAGTAGAACCTCTTAATTT